ACTAACTTGCAAAAAGGAACGAAGCGAGCTGAAAGAAGGAAGAAAAGAGAGCCTGGTGATCGCTAAGTCCATTTGGTGAGTCGCCGAATGGCCATTACCTCGCCTAACGTTCCAGTGTGCCAAGCCTTGAAGGAGAAAATCAAGTTAGCGAGAGAAATGAGAAGTTGGTGGATCGTCGAGTGGTTCCGCAATGCAGCGTTAGATCGCCCAAAGTTACAGACCTTGAGGATGTTGAAGGCCAAAGCAAGAAGGCGATGGAATGGGTCAAAGGGAGGATCACCGAGTTGATCAGCGAACCGACTTACTGAGCCGAATGGCCCTTCACAGCATATTTTTGGCGACTATAAATACATTTTTGAACATTTAGTTTAGGGTCTAACATTCATTAGAGTAATTTTGAGTTTGAACTCTCAGTTTTGAGACATTTTTCCCTTAGCTTTGAAGATTTGAAGTTTTCCATTTTTGAGAAATTGGAAGTGGGTCTTTGAGATTCTTCAACTTGGACCTTTGTAAAGGCGAAATTAGTCTTACCCAGTTGATGGAAACACAATTTGGTAACGATTTTCATATTTTTATGATGTCTAGCTAAAACCCCAATTCTTGGGGTGTGATTATGTGATTATGGGCTGATTTAATTTATGGGTATTGCTAATTGTTAGTTTAAATGTTATTTAGAAGTGATTTCAATCAGTAATTGTGGTTCAATTTAAAGAATTGTAGTTGCAAATGCAATTCTACCATCGTATTTTTGGCTTGCTCGAGAGAGAGAGGTTTTAAAACCAAGATTACTGAATTGATGGTCTGTGGGTATTGGGTTGTCATGGGTTCAGCTCGAGAGAGAGTGAATCCTAAACCCTTTTCCACACATTTAGCTCGAGAGAGTGAATGGACTAAGGTGTAGGTTGTTCTTATTTTGCATGCTTATTGATGTTCGAGAGAAATTGACTTGATTCGGGGTCAATTGTTCGAGAGAAAGTTTACCTCCTCTATAGTCTAGCCTATTCACTGATTTACAGTTATTTTCTAACAGTTGCAATTACCTATTTGTCTACCTTAGCCTATAATCAAATCACATCCCAAGAACCCATCTCATTATTGTTATTTTTGCGTTATTTGATGTTGCTGTAGTTGATAATTGAAAACCAAAACCCCTTTATTTGACATTCGTGTCACCCCCTAATTTGAACTATGTTTTTATTCGATAATGTCTTTCTATAATTGACTTGAACAGATTCGTACTTTACTTTTGAATCTTAAACACGTACCACTCCCTGTGGGATTCGACCCCAACTCATTTAGTTGGGTTATTATACTGACTAACGATCATTGACGCTTAGAACTGGATTAAGTGTCCTTGAAACGTTAATCACCTATGCTTCAAGGCAACTTAAGATTCATGAAAATAATTATCCGACCCATGTCCTTGAACTAGCGGCGGTTGTGTTTGCCTTAAAGATTTTGAGGCATTATTTATATGGTGTTCATGTGGATGTCTTTACCAAACACAAGAGTTTGCAATATGTGTTTAACCAGAAGGATCTAAATCTTCACCAAAGGAAATTGCTTGAATTGTTGAAAGACTATGACATGAGTGTTCTCTATCACCCCAATAAGGCGAATGTGGTGGCAGATGCTCTTAGTCGATTATCGATGGGTAGTGTTGCTCACATAGAGGACGATAAGAAAGAGTTAGTTCGGGATGTTCATAGATTGGCCCGACTGGCTGTTCGGTTAGTTAATTCTACCAAGGGTGGTGATGTAGTTCACAATGGTCTAGAATCGTCTTTTGTGGCTTATATGAAGGCCAAGCAAGGTCTTGATCCAACTTTGGTTGAATTGATGGAAGTGGTGCTTAAAATGTCTAGAGAGGCTTTCTCCCAAGTGGTGTACTTAGATATCAAGGTAGTTGTGTGTTCCTAATGTGGATGACTTGAGAGAACAGATCTTTTCAGAAGCCCATGGTTCTCGATATTCCATACACCCAGGAGCCACCAAGATGTACCGTGACTTATGAGAGATCTATTGGTGGAATGGGATGAAGAAAGATATCACAGAATTTGTGGCTAAGTGCCCCAATTGTCAACAAGTGAAAGTTGAGCATCAAAAGTCGGAAGGTTTATCTCAAGATATTAGCATTCCTACTTGTAAGTGGGAAGACTTGAACATAGATTTTATTGTTAGGTTGCCTCGCACTGGGCGACAACATAACTCGATTTGGGTTATTGTAGATCATATGAAAAAATTGGCTCATTTCATTCTCGTCAAGGTTTCTTATTCGGCGGAGGAATATGCCAAGTTGTATTTGAAGGAAATGGTGAGGTTGCATGGAGTGCCCTTATCCGTTAATTCCGATCTTGGTACCCAATTCACTTCGCAGTTTTGGAAATCTTTCCAAAAGGGTCTTGGTACTCGTGTTAAGCTCAGTACGGCCTTTCATACCCAAACTGATGTGCAAGCGGAGCGTACTATCCAAACTTTGGAAGATATGTTGAGAGCATGCGTAATTAACTTCAAGAGTAATTGGGATGATCACATGCCTTTGATTGAGTTTACACATAATAATAGTTATCACTCAAGCATTGGTATGGCTCCATTTGAAGCTTTTTATGATAAGAGGTATAGATCTCTTATAGGTTGGTTTGAGGTCGGTGAAGTTGCTTTGTTAGGACCCGAGTTGGTTCATGAGGCTATGGAGAAAGTTCGGCTTATTAGAAAAAGATTGAAAACAGCTCAAAGTCGACAAAAGTCCTATGCTGATGTGAGAAGAAGATATCTTGAGTTTGAGGTAAATGATTGGGTCTACTTGAAAATCTCACACATTTGTATCAGTTTGCATCCTGTTTAAAAATTGTTTCCGTCGCTGCACTTTAAGAACACATATAAGTACTTAATAAAACGTATTATACCTTTGGGATGATTTTGTAGTGGACGGAAAAACATTCTCAATTGGTTAGAATATCATGCTAATAACGTATTATGAAACTATATAAAATAATGAGAAGAAAGTAGGGAGAAGAGAGAAACTTATTATTTTTACAATGAAGAGAACCCCTCTATTTATAGGGAAAAATTGACTTGGTCCCAAAGTTAGGATTCCTAAAAAAAATTAATAGATATACATTAACTATATTTATAACATCATGGTAAAAATCACTGTAATAACTAAATACAATAGCTTCCTCGGAAAGGAAACTTAAAGAAAGGTTCATTGGAACCCCCTATGAAAAATGGGATTAATATACAGAATGAAGACATTATCTGGTAATACGTTCATTGAAGCCTTAAAGAACTTCTCCTTAGCCACAACTCATACATAACCATATAAAAGGCATCAAAATCAATTGGGGAAACATGCCACTGGAAGTGTTCTCTTACCTTAAGAACATTGCTTTGCAATACTAAATACTCCTGTTGAGTTATGCCTTGAAGGATTTTCTTCAATAAAGGGATATCTAGCGTGGCAACAATGACTGAAAAATGTTTCCAATCTAATATGTCGGCAAATGGAAGATCATAATGGTTGGCAATGATCACAGGTACACATCCATAAAACAACGCATCAACAATGCGAGCAGTGTTGACTTCAAAGCCTTTCACATGAAGGCAGAATTTGCTACCAAGAAGTTCTTCAGTATAAGATCTTTCAAGGCGACCAGAGTGCACAAAGATGTCGGAATCATTTCCCCACCACTCTAGAAGCTTTTCACGTACAGGAGAATTTAGTGATCCAGCAAAAAATCCCAGCTTTTTCCTGAAACCATGCAATAAAATGAGTTTCTCTACATCAAGAATCTCCATTAACCCCCAACATATGGCAAACAAAGTTATGAATAATATATTCATGTAAAAGCTATGGTTGAAATTTGTTTTCGATTGATGTAGTAACTTTTTAAGCATAATAAGTTGCTTAATTATGCTTAGGATGTATCTACTTTTTGAACTTTAAATTTGTATTAGGTTGTTTTAGCTAGCTTTTGGCCATAGATTTAGTTGAAACTTGAAAAAACAAGGAGTTTTTGAAGTAGTGTTGAAAAATAGTTTTTGAAAAACTTGAAGTTGTGTTTAGAAATAAATTTTCAAAAACTAACAATTTCTTGAACAATTAATGTTTTCAATTTTTTTTGAGAATCTACTCTCAAACTCTAAGGCCAAACAGGAGCTCTTAGTTTGTTGAGATACTTTAAGTTTTTTGAAGTTTTGTTATGCAGTAGATTAATATGTTGTCAAGTTGGCTTTTGTTGATAATATATTTCATCAGTATATTATAGAAATAAAATAGATAGTTGCATTATCACTAAAAAATTTCACTAATTAAGTCTATCTAGTTTTTTAGGATTTCAAATTATTTTGTTAAGTGAATTAGGAGTTGTTTCTTGTGACATAAAAAAAATAAAAATTAGGAGTTGTTTCTACTTTTGTGTTATTTGATTTTGCAGATAGATCATTAGCATATTTTTCTTTCTTTTTTAGTTAAAAATTGCAACAATAAATATGTCTTTGAGTTAGTAATAAAATAATATTCTTTGACAACATTGTTGTATTTTTTTCTATTACGAAAATTATCAAATTTGATCGATGAGGATGAAATCATATTTTGAATCTACAATTTATGTAATGCTGTAATGTAAGAACAATCCTTATAAACATTCCATGCGAATCCTATTATTGTCCAGTTTTAAAAAAATCCAAAAAAAATTCAGACAAGATAAGGTAATTGAGGGTATTTTTTAAGCACAAAACTAAACGATGATAAAGAAAGAGAAAGATCAATATTAATAAAAAATAATGTGCAACTTAAGAAAAAAATAATAGAAACTAAGGACAATCATATTTTTTAATTGCAGCTAAAGCAAAGGAGGAGTATTGAAATCTGCTTTCAATTAGTGCAGTTATCCTTTTAGCATAATAAGTTTCTTAGTTTAGGATGAATCTACATTTCAAATTTATATTTCTATTAGGTAGTTTTACTTTCATTTGAATTTATTATGCAAATTTTCTACAAATTATGTTTTCAAGTTGGCTATTTAAAGACCTCATATAGTTAATAAAATTATTGAAATTATTCAAGGATATTTTTTAGTCACTCTTCAAACCATTTTTGTTGCACTATCTTTTAAAAAACCAATTGATTCTCCAACAGTGCAAAATGAATATTTTCATTGATAGTGAAACCAATACTTTTTGCCGACAGCAAACGCAATAGAGAAAGAAAACTTTCTAAGCTTTGGATTAGTCCCCCCTCCCCCCTCTTTCTCATTTTTGCTCTATGTTTCCTCTTTTCACATTGTAGAGGGTCGGTTACATGTACTGATGTACACACTTCAAACAATATGAAGATGGGTGTAACAATATCAGAGAACTACCAGCCGGCTTAAACTGCTTGCACATCTACCAGCTTTTTCCTCTCTGCACAAAAGACTAAGCATTGGCACACATAGAAGGGCCAACTCAAGATGAATTGATGAGAACATTCCTTGATGAAGGTTGTCAGGTGGAACATCTGGCAAACATCAGACCAAATAGATTGATGACCTTTGTTGAATGGATCTCAAGCAAGGGGGAAAAGGAGAAGCTAAGGAAATGTAAAGAAACCCGCTGCTAATGACATCATCCATGAGTTGGCTGCCATCTTATGTTGTAGGATTGAATTGTTTCCTAATCCTTCTACATATCTTGGTATGCCTTTGGGTGCAAAAATGAAGGATATTGTTGTATGGCAAAGGGTGATTGAATAAATATGGAAGAAGCAGTACAAATCCTTTAGAGGCAGGCTAACACTAACTGACAGTTATCTCGATGGAATTCCCACTCATATAATGTCCTTATTTCCCATGCCTGCAAAGGTTTTTTTTTTAAATTAAATACCATGCCTGCAAAGGTTGAAAGTCAATTGGATAGGATTATAAGAAACTTCCTACGAGAAGGGGGCCAAACCAAGAGAAAGCTCTATTTGGTGAAACAGGAAACTGTTACAAGAGACAAAAAAACTGGGGGATCGAGAATCAAGAATTTGAAGATGCAGCACAAGAGTTTTATTAAAATGGCATTAGAGGTTTAATGACAGAAGAAATGACTTATAGGAAAATGCTATTACTCTTAAATATGGTAAAGGGGATCAATTGTGCACCAACAATGTTAAAAGTGTTGATGGCTTCTGTTAGGAAATACATCGTAGGCCTCTGTGATGAAATTTTTGTAATGTTCGTCTAGGTCATTTCCTCTTTTTTTTTGTGTTATTTTAGGCATTTAGAGCTTTCCTATAGCAACCACTAGTCATTTTTTACTTGATGGGACTCACAGTTTGGTCACCTGGTCGTTCGTTTGGTTTTATGCGAGTTTTCGTGTTTTGGAGCTTTTGAAACTTGAATGGTTGACTTCGGTCAAAAATTCAGGTCGACGGCCTCAGAATGCAACTATGACGGCCCTGTTAGCTACAAAACATCAAGTTTGGTCTAGAAGGACCTCTGGTGCGGACCTTGAGGCTTTTGGGCTCATTCCGAGCTACCTCATGGATTTTGGCTTAAAACAGAGCTTGGGTGTGGAATCCACTTTTTGTCGAGACAACCTCCGTTAGAAGATTTGACATCTCTGTTGAGTCCAGAATGTCAAATTTGGTGGGGTAGCATAGTTCGTTTGCATGCACGGGGTTCCAAATGAATCTCGAGTCCCAGTCGTGGCGTTTTGCTAAGTTCAACTTGAGCTGGTGCAGCCTTTCATGGTGCACCTCAATTTATTCGTCACGTTCGCGGGCTTGGAGACGCGTTTGGGAAGACCAAGAGATTTAGTCGCCGCATTCGCGAGCTCAGCTCTGCATTCGCGAAGAGAAGGGTCCCCGACCCTTTGCGTTCCTGAAGAAGGGTCGGGGTTGACCTGACCCTGTTGACCACCGCGATCGCGGCCATGGGCCTGCATTCGCGGAAGTCATTTAAGTGGTCTTTTTCAAAAGAGCAGTCTCCAAAAGTCTAATCAATGTGCAAATTGGTGGAGTTGATTTCTTGGTCTCTAGAGCTCTGATTGAGCTCGTTTTCATTGTGTTAGGTCAGGAATTAATGGAGATACCTGTTGGGACCATCGAGACTATGTGGGGGACTCGTATTAGAGGTAAATTCTTGTCTTGGAGACCCTTCTTTCTCTCTTTAATGGTGATTTTGTGATAGCTTAATTGCATGAACCGTTTAGCTTGTTTCAAAGCTCGGATTGTGCCCATTTTTGAGGCACAACTTCCTTGAGCAGATTGGGACCAATTGACAAAGTCAATTTTGGGATTCTCAATGTGGGTCCCACAATGCCATTTTTACTCTTTTTGGGCCCGTATCCAATTATTGCGATTTGGGTGTCAAAACATCTGTATTGACGTTGTGATCACTTATTTGATAGCATGGCAGCAATTGGAGGTGGTTCGAAAGGGTAAAGATTCGTTTTAGTGGATTTGAAGTGCGCACGGTCAGCTTTGAGGTAGGCTACGACTTACCGGTCTTTTGATTAAGCTTGTGTTAGTAAATTCATGTTGAATAGCTAGCTTTGGGTGGGGTTTCTAGCTTGTATCATATTTAGTTGATAGAACGCATGCCTTAGCCTTATTTTCGGATAGTTTCGAGAAATCGAGCATGCCTACTTTGGTTGTGTGGATTGTATCATGTCTTGTGGTATCTTTAGTGTTGGTTGTATTGATCGGTAGCTTGTTCTTGGCCTTAGCCTAGACGTAGGCTAGTGATTGCCTTAGACTTGCGATTTGGAGTCGTTTTACCTTAGAAATTCTCTAACGTCACTTTGTACAGCTTAACTCACTATAGACTGATATAACACACTTGGGTATGATATTATGAATCCTTAGCTAGGCGACAACTCAACTCTTGTAACCGTTCATCCATAACTTCGCTTATGTTTCGACCCTGATTTGTTCTTTGGCGATTTTTGGCCTTGTTAGCTATATTGGGTCGGGTCTGGGATTCCGAGATAGAGTGGGTTCCTGGTGACTCTGAAGATGGTTTCGCTCTATGGTATCTTCCCATATGAAGAAGAGTGTGTGATTGGGAGACATTCAGAGTCTACTAGCCGCAGTTTGAGGTTTGTGCGCATGATTACTAGTTGCGGTTCGAGGTTCGTGCGCATGCCTATTAGCCATGGTTCGAGGTCCGGGCGTATTTCTACTAGCCAAGATTTAGTCTGGGTATCACTTCTATTAATCGAGTTCGAGCCCTGACTTGGTGGTTCTACTGGGTTCTTTTGGATGCCTTCACCGTGGTTTGAGTCCGAGGATGGCTGTTTCAGTTCTGGAATACTTTAGACTTAGTTAATGTCACCCTTAGCGCTTCTGTGTACTCATCGGGCTTATGGGGTCAGTTTGAGTTATTCGAATTGCACACGAGTGTACTTTTTGGGCTTATCAAGGTCCAGTTAGGTTATAGCTAACTGTTTTACTTTACCATATCGTTAGATCGTGGGCTATATAGTTAGGATTTTCGTTATCTCTTCGTTCTTGTGACCTCTAGTTGCTATTAGTTTCTCGCTTTCATATTGTTTTTACTTCCCAAGTTCAGTCGGCCTATGATGCTACTGGGTACCTCTTGATGCCGATCCGAGCACCAGCCGACAACGGTGATTCGAGCCTTCTTGGAGCATATCTTCGGAGATAGAAGGTGAGTTGATGGCGTCCTAGTTCGACCTATCTCCATCTATATATAGTTTTTGACTAGTCTTTTGTATTCAAGACAAGTATGTACTTTTTGATCCACTTTTGGGACTTGTACTCCTATAGTAAATTTGTACTTTCGTTCCCAGGTCGTGAAATTGGATCTTGTATTCTGGCCTTTATATGTATTGTTGTTGTTCTCTTTTCCATTGTGTTTCCTTTAAATTATTTTACTTTTCCCATTGGTTGTTGATTCTGCCCAATATGCATGTTACTGGTCGTTCCAGGATATGGATTGGCTTACCGACTGATGGATTATGGTAGGTGCCATAGTGACTTGAGGTTTCGTGTTGTGACAATTTTTGACAATGTAAACCTGAAAGTTGGCAATAAAGGAAGGTAAAAATGTGGACACATAGGTGGCTTGATGACATTCCGTTAGAAGAGCAGTTTCCAGATTTGCTTTTGAGATCTGGTTTATAAAGGAACTAAAGTGGCAGAATGTTGTTCCTTTTGGGGATGGGAACTTCATTTGAGAAGGAACTCATTTGATTGGGAAATTGATAGTATTAATCCAGATGAAGACAAAGGTCCAGAGTTGTGGCTAAAGCAGGGTGTCAAAAAAACAGTTTTCCATAGAATGGCAAATGCTCAAAGATGACTTAATAATTTAAACAAGCTGAAAGTAAATGGAGAAATGACAGATCCAGAGAGTATTCAAGGGGATATATTAGATTTCTACAAGATCTTATATGCTGAAACTGAAGTTTGGAGACCTGATTTCACAAATGAAAACATTCCAAGAATCAGTTGAAGAAGAAGAATGTCTACAACGACCTTTTGAGGAGCATGAGGTTTTGGCTAGTATCAAGCTTTGTGCTATCGACAAGCACCAAGTTCATATGGTTATACAATTAACTTATTAGAAAAAAAAAAAACTGTCAAATATACTTAAACTTGCCTTAAATTGTTCCACTATGTTGGATAACCTCACAGGCTCAGCAAACTACCCAAGACCAAGTAACATGTGGGGATAGTTATTATACTTGATGGCACAAATATCTCTTTAGGCTCTGGTGTGATGTCCACATCTAACAATTTTCTTAAATATGTAACAGGGATGTTTGTACTATTATGGGGAAACCAAGGGGATGACAATCCTCCACAAAAGCCAAATGACCAAAAGGAATAACTGAAAAGACCAAAACATAGACCATATTAAGCCATGAAAATGGATCTAAGAATAAAGGTTAAAACAATAAAAATGTCTAGCTGAAAAATGGATTTGATTGCTTTGAAGTTCTATGAATAGATTTCCGTATAAGACAAGTCAATCTGCAGGTTTGGGCACTGCATCTAGTAGAGTTGACTTAACACACCAAGCAAATCTCCTTCCTAGTCTAGGACTTATAGCTTTGGAAATAGAATTAGTCCTGCAACTCCCCTAGCTGCACATCGACCCTCACCCCAATCCATAGCCCTTGGAGCATAAGTCCCTTGTAGAAGGACTCTCGCTTCAATTTAACCTCCCTAACCCCCTATCATAAAGGGAAGATGGTTGGTTGTCTCCTGAAGGAATTCAAACCCTCACAGGCATGTGTAAAATCTAATAAGGTTTAATGCGCACAACATCAGAAAGAATGGCATATGATGAATGCCAATAAAAAGCTTCCCAAAAGTTGGGGGTATGATGAATCCCAGTAAAAGTTTTCCAAGGACCAAGATTATATGACAAAATAAAGAAAACTATCTTGTAAGATTCCATGTAGTTATTAACAAACAGGTCATGATTTTGATATTAACCTCAGGTAAGTAGTTCCATATCTGAAACACATGCATGAAATAAGTAAATAACTAGAAAGGACTCAGCTGACCTTTTATAAGGTGCAAAATCTGGGTTACCACCTAGCCTTGGCCAAATCTGTGGCAATGATGCATCTTTATGTGGAATGTATGCTGATACGAAATAACTTGAAGTACACACAACTTGGATCACGTTGATCTTAACATCAACTACTTTCTCCATGGCAAAACGACCAATAGAATGACAGGCAACATAGAAATGGTCAGCCCCATTGGTCAGGTTCCAGTAAGGGTACTCATGACTAATATTGAAGATGTAGCTTTTTATGAAGTCTTTAATACCATTGATCCCCACTCGTGGATCATGTCGCAATCGTGCAATTGAGAAAGGTAGAAAGAAGAGATCGGCATTGGAAGGATCCCTTGTAATAAAATGGCTCATCTTGAGAACTTTCTTGAAGTAACTTTCACTGGCATAGTTTCCACCTGGCTCAAAATCAACAGCCAAGAGTACATTGGAAAAGGGATCATCCTTTTGGTGAGGATAAACATATATCTTCAAGCTCCTATTCATTTCTTTGTAGTTGTCCACAAAGGCATCTCTGTCATGGAATACGTCATTGTCATTCACATGGTTTCCTGAAAATAAAAGCCAACAATTTCTAGATCCAGCAAATATGCGACAAATCTCAGACAATACAGTAATCAGGGCTGACAAACCCTGCCAAAATGCCAATCAGGACAGAATATTGTCGGGCTGAAGGCAATTACATTTGCAGCAGATACTATAGCATTCATAGAATATAATTATTTCAGAATAGACTATCTACACGTCATACTTAAGAAAAGAAATAGTAGTTATCAATATGGCAAAGAGATGCAACTTAAAGAAGGCCAAAAGGACATGGTTGGACTCCACAATTGCATTACACTACAATCTATTTAGTTTTTCAAAGGTAAACTGGGTCAAAGATACTGTTTTTTCCATGTTAGTATAACTTATAAATAGGCCAACCAGTGGATAACTGAACAAAATTAGACTGGAACACCTATCTACAGGCCGTGCTTAATCAACATAATAAGACAGGATACAACAAGAAAATGTTTCATTGTCATCTTGTTTACTTATCCGTTTCTGTAAGTCACTACAATAGCGGGTAAGTTCTTAAAAGGTCTCCTTTACACAGTCCCAGGGGAAACTCAAAAACAACTAATGCGACCCTCAAGGTGATAGTAGTTTGTAAGACATGTCTCCCAGATAGAAAGGCTTCTGTATATCAATTTAAACATGGTAAAGTAAGAAAAAGATTGCACTTCAGGTGTGATGAAGTATAAAATATAAACATAGACAGTGGCTCTAGCAAACTGGGAATTGCTGTGAAGACATTTCACAACAGAAATTGGGTGCCAAAGGTTTTATTTATTTACATATACATATAAACAAATATAATTGTGGTATTAGGTGGCATTAATAATCAAAACTGGGGTTCCTTAGACATCTAAGTAAGAATATAGTTGTGATGCTAAATATTTCTAAATAGTTTCTTAAAGAGAATCCTAAGTTGTGCTGATGAATAACTACATTGTGGGTTTAGAGGACCTACGAGGGGGTTATGTTTTTATTTGCTATCTATTACAGAAAAATCATTGCACTCACAATCCTGAGAATATCCTTGTATGCATGGTTACAGAACATTGTCATCTTCAACAATTAGAAATCATTTCTGCCAACCCCTTTTTCTGTAATTTCATATCCTGCTAATTAATTTCCTTAGTTTCTTTAGCTGCTTATAAGCAGTTGATGTCCTCTAAAGGAGATGCAAATCAATGAATACATCAACAATCTACTGAACATCTATCTATCCAGCTAAATGAAGAAGTTGGATTCGAAATAGTTGAGGTTCTCCAACCCTAAAATAGGTAAGGCGGCCTTTAAGCATCATATGAAACCCCTAAAATTTAAATTAAAAAGTAGAAAATTTGTGCAGAATAGCTTACACCCAGAGAGAGAGTAAATTATTTTAGTGGTGTGGTCATACCATTGAATTGGACATGCGTATGTGTGTGAATCATTGGATTTCCAACAAATGAAATGTTGAATGTGAGATGGGTTTGGTGGGAATGGATAAAGAAATTGGAAGTGAAGGAAATGTAGAATAGAATGAAGAGACAACTCACAACACTTAAGCCTGTCGGTATCAATATGAACATCACTACCGACGCCATTGGAGCTGCTCCTTGTGCCTCACTAGTCACTGCATATTCCAAAATGTAGGTGGAACCATTAATGTTCAGACTTGAGGGGTACAACCATTTATCCATTTGGTACAACAACACTTTGAAGTGCATTATTTGCTCTGACAACTAGCAATATCAACTGAAGTGAAAATGAGGTGCAAATTCTTCATTACATTCTTTCTCAAGCTAAAGCTACAAAAGAATCACCTATGCTGTTCAAAATATCCAAATGGAACTTGATGATTTTTGAACATTAATACTTTTGATAATCAGTTTTTATTACTTTTTAGTTTTTGCAAAAACTAAAATAATTTCTCTAATAGCATTTGGTAAAAAGAAATTAGATTATATTTGTCTTGGAACAATCCTTTTTTATTACTTCCCCAACTAGAAAATAAGTAAAAAAAAAAAAAAACTACTTATTTTTCTAAAACGTCTTTTAGAAGAAAAAAAATCACGAGAAACATTTTCACTCCTACCAAAGACACCCTTTACCTTTCTAACTTCTAGTAAACAAAAACGAATATTTAACATAAGATAGGAGTAGAAACATGTTGCTCCCATGATCGTTTTTTTTTATTTTGCATACTTAGGCTTGTAGAAGTGAGCTTATGATATTTGCAAATTTAATCGTTCAATTGATTTGGAGAAATGCATATTAGAGCAATTAAAAGCTCATGAGTCATGCCGGAGTTTGTATCCTATAAATAGAAGTGCTTCCAAGTGTAAATAACACTTCATTTGCTTCAGGTAGTGAAAACAAGATATGAATTGGGATTTGCCTTTGATGGAACAAAAAGGATTGATATGAAGAAGAACAAATTTTCACTGGTGGTGGATATCTGATCTGAACACCAAGTCTACTAAATAAAGTGAATATTTCGCTCATACAAACTTTTCCTGCATTAGGATAGGATGCTTCTTATACATACGGTATAACCAAATTGATGAGGAATAGAATACATATATTGTCTTTAACTAGCTACTAATTTAGAGAAAAGAAGCATAGACAGGTCAGTTTCTGGTTCGATTGGGGCACATCTTATTTCAACTTACACATTCCAACAGCCGGATGATCCTGCAGCATAGTAGTAAAATCCTCAGTTATGAAGCAAAATTTAGTAAATGCACCATGAACACAAATGCAAGTTTGAAATTTCCAAATAATTGCAGTTACAATCCAAGCTCACCCAACAACATGCTCCACCAACTGAAGAATGACTTATGAGAACAAAATAGCAACCTTATATAGGGGGGCCTTGTTCGATGCCCATAAAACACCTCAACATGTCAATCTCATATTCCCCTGTTTGGTGGCACAAGTTTCTTTTAACACTTTCTCCAATGACAAATGGAGAAAAACATTAGACCTCCGAAAAAGCCCTATAATGAATCAGACAAATGAAAACCTGCCGAGTTTATGAATTTCTCAGGGTGATTTGTTGACCAGACCCATGAACAAGAAGAAGAAGATCAAATCACAAGGAGAAAGCAAAAACCAATCAAAGAGAGTGGATAATGAAAAAATATGGAAACTAGTGAATTAGTTCTTGAAATAAAACAGATGAAAATTACAGCAGCCCTGTTACAAGAAAATTCTGAAAAAGACAACATATTACCAACGAAAATCAGTTACAATAAACATTAAGCTCGTTTGCCAGTTCTAGGTGAAGACTTTGGGCAGAGATCCCATCGGCCCTTTGCACGTCTCCGCTGAATAGTTGCTCTACCACTGGTGGTACTCATACGCTTGCGAAAACCATGTGTTCGAGCCAACGACTTCCTTGACCTATTCCTCTTAGTCTGACAAAGAGCATACTTCTTTGCCTGCACCACCAGGCCACGCCTTTTAGTGGTGCTCACTCCAATGTTGGAACTGAAGCCAAAGCCAAATGATGAACCTACGCCAGATATTAACTATTAGCTCCCTACTACTCATCATGCCAATTTAATACGAAATTGATGAAATTCCTCTTGGCCCTTAAAGGTTTCCTCCTTGTTGAAACTTTTTCCGTTCAATTGTTTTATAATCTTAAGCTTTAACCAATGGATTTTGACCATAAAATCAGAAATACGATTTACTTTTTTCAATAGCACACCAATATCAGACCAAAAATATCCACAATAGACACTAGAAATTTGAATTATATGGAATACTAAACATCAGAATGATGTCTCCCCTTTTTACCTTCAAATAGTGTGTATAGTTCAACAGGACTCAAGATAACACACAAGGGAATTATTGCCTATTACGGAATTACCAAAAGAAGCAACTCAAATGAACATACTACCTGCCTACAACAGGAATCAATAAACAACCCCGCATTACCAATTCAAATAACAACTGGAATCTCTAATTCACAAATTTCTCGATTTCCCATTTCCACATCAAAATTAAAAACAAAGATAGAGAATTTATGGGACTTACCGGAAAAGGATGTTGAAGAAGATAAGGTAGAGAGTGCAGAGGAAGAAACAAAAGAGCAGTGAAGCAACCCAGAACGAGTAGAGACATTAGAAGCCATTTTCAAAGAGACAGAAGTAGTCATTCTTGAAGAACCAGTACGTAGAGAAAGCGAAGCGGATGGTCCGTGGTTTCCTATTCCTGAACAGACCCAACTTCCCATTGACAAAGAAGCCATTTTTTCTCTCTTTCGAAACTCTCCCTCCTCCTCTTCTATCTATCTACAACCTACTTAAAGAGGTTTTGATGCCTTATCTGCAATCCAAGGGACTTTTTGGGTAATCCGAAAAAATACCGGGTTAAAGATAGATTTAGTTGCCGTTTGGCACTTATTTTAAATAGCTTTTGGTTTGGGAAAAATGGTCATATTTGTCCTAATTCTCTTACAAATAACTCATATTTATTCTTAGTTGTATATTTTTTTAGGCTTAAGTCATATGTGGCCCTTTAAGTTGTTCATATAATTTACTTAGACACTTCACTTAGAGCTAATACATATTGAACACTTTTTATCTATTCAAATTTATTTCTATTAAACCTTTTTCGATAATCAGTAAAAAAGTAAAGTGTGTGTGATACATATGATGTGGCAAAAATAACTAATTAATATGTCACTAGACCTCAATAACTATAGTTTTTTTAAATGTAAAAAAGAATAATAATTATTTTAAATAAATTTTCTTTAATTAAAAAAAACTAAATGAAATGACACCACATTTTACTAAGCCCCACCCTACCCAACCCCCTTTCTTCTTCTTCTTCCCGACAAATTTGTTTTCTCAAACCACAAAATCCAGTTTCACGGCAAATTTCTTCCAGATTCAATTTTTTTTTTAAATATTTTTTATTCCTAATAAGTGAGAGAGAAAGATATTCAAAGAGATTGTACAATAATGATGGAGAAAGGGAGTTTGTCAATGGTTACTCATCCAGAAATCGACTGCAAAGAAAAATCGAAAGCGCTCAAATTAATTTTAATTTACCAAAAGTTATTTTTCATTCCTAATTCGTGATAGAGAAATATATTAAAAGAGTTGGTACAAGAGTGATGAAGAAATGAAGTTTGCCAGTAGTTAAGCATTTTGAAATCAATTGCAAGGAGCAATCAAGAAGACCTAAATTAATTTTATCGAATCATCTGATATTGTTTTTGATAAGTTTAGTGGATTTACAATTTAATTTGAATGGTGATATTTGTTCAAAGGTGGCCAGAAATGGAGATGAAACGTCGACTAACTTTTTTCATCTCGATGTTCAAAATTTGCTTGTACTATCAAAAAGTGTCATATTTTTCCTTGTACTCTCAAAAAGTGTCATATTTACATGTACGAGGATAAATTCTCATGTCCTTAATATATTTGCCTTTTTCTTCCAATTTTAGGATCATATTTGCCCTTATACAGGAAAATATCATATTTATCCCTTTGACATTAAATCTTCAAGTTTCACCTTAATTTTTTTATGTGATTTATAAGACATATTTCTTGTCAATTAAATCTATTATCCCATTTTTTGGGAAAAAATATATTAGCCTGTTTATTAAATAAGTTAGTAAATTAATTGGAAAAAAAAAATGTCAAGGAGAATTCACAATAGAAAGTTGATGGTAGCCGACGTGATATCCACCTACTTACTTGCACTAGAAGTTGGGGTATTTATCCACTGGATCATGAAGGTCCATCTTTTTTTGCCTCAAAAATTCAAAGACTAACTCTAAAAAGATATTTCTCGGTGCATCAGTAAGGGCTACCAGTTTCTCTTAGTAAGTTGCTTGACAATGTTCAGGAATTCTTCCCTAAGCCAGCCATGTTGAAACTTCTTTCCTGACGTGAATTCCTAGTTAATCTTGGAGAAAGTTTACCTTTCATTCATCCTTTCTATGCTAAAATGAATGCACTTTTTCTCTGTGGCGGCTCTCCGCGAATGCACTCTTCCTCATTGGGGGCGTTCTGCGGAGCATTGTTCTTAGCTTTGCTTTTGAAAGAGGAGGACTTGCGGCTATGCCTATCCAAATTACACATGCGAAAAGACATGATCTGGAAAGATATTATGAGCCATACAGTAACAAACAACATATTTTTGATATTTTTCCTTGAGAAATAAAAGAAGAGACTAAAAGAAGTTAACAAAATTTTAAAAAAAATTGGGATGCAAAAAGAATTTTAGCATTTCAGCAAACAATAGCGTCGATGTCTGATCAACGATTCGTAGATGTGAAATTGTGCACCGCCAACACAAGATAAATTTATATTCACTAAAAGGAAATTTGAATTTTATGACGTCTTTATCAAGTTTCAAAAAAAAGTTCAGAAACAATTCATAAAGACCATTAAAAAAATTTAGTATGATGGAGAGGTGAATTCAACTATACTTGACGAGAGGGTGTTGCTCGGATGGTAAGCATCCCTCGCTTCCAATCTGAAGGTTGCGAGTTTGAGTCACCAAGGGAGCAAAAGGGGTGGGAGCTCCTAGGGAAGGGTAAAAAGAAAAGAAAAGAAAAGAAAAAAAAGAATTCAACTATACTTAATTTGTTAATCACCAAGAGGGTTATGGAATTGTTAGACATATCTCATGCTTTCATACACCTGAGCAAAATGATGTTTCTAAAAAAATGTAAGTAGTAAAAACAGGTTTGACCTTATTATTTCATGCAAAGTTGCCACAATATTTTTGGATTGAAGCCTTCTTGATAACAATATTTTCAATCAGCAGAATATCCTCATCAGTGTTAATAATGGAGTCTCCATTATTTAAACTATTTAGAGGACATGAAGAAAATATTTTGATGGAGGCGTTTTCCTTATTTGAAAGGCACAACTAAATTCTCCCCAAAAATCAATACATGTGTGTTTGTTGGATACAATAGTCTTCACAAAGACTATAGGTTAATTAACCCTCCATTAGAAGAGTGTATATCTCAAGATATACAATCTTTGATGCTAATACATTGCCTTATGTAAAACCAAATGCACCACTAAATGGTTCAACTGTCACTACTCATTTTGCTACCTTTTTTAATTTTTCTTCAGTTGTTGGATGACTCTAGATCAGGTAATAATGAACATCCTACTTCAGGGGAAGTGTTGAATGCACCACCAATAATTGATCAATCGATTCTTGTCACAGATAACACCTTCAAACATATGAACAACATATCATTGCAACTCATGACTTTCCATTAAATTGTAATTGGCACTCCTATTGAGTCTCAATTTGGATCAAATACAGTTGATGCATTATTGAATTTCAGTCAATTGGGTCAAACAAAGAATCATGCAAATCAACTCATTATAATGAATACAGTACATCCCCTAGACCTAATTCTCATTATATATATGATACACAAAAAAACCAGTTGAGTCTCAATTTGGATCAAATACAATTGATGCTTCTATTGAATCTCATCCCATTGGATTAAGTTAAGAATCAAGCAACCTAACTTACAATTGTGACCACAGTGCAATGATCCATAAGTAATTTAGCTTGAAATTGTTTTGTCACATTAGTTTAACACTAAAATCAATCTAGACTGACAAACTCAAACTACAGGAAAATCAAAAGAACTTGTTGTTGAGACCGAATCAATGGGTCACATATCAAATGCATAGAATCATCTTATGGTGACAAGGCAGAAATCAAAATCCATATATACTAGCAAGCTACACAACCCTAATTGTAGCAAAAGAGACTAGAGTAAAGGAAAAAGACTTCGTGAATGAGGCACTCAACTCCCCAAAATGGTTTGTAGCAATTCAAGCGGAAAAAAATGCACTTCATCAAAACAAGACTTGGACACTAGTGCATAGCGATTCATATACAGGTACCAGTCAAGACTAGTTGTCGAGGGATATTCCCAACTTCAAAGGGTAGATTTTGAAGAAACCTTCAGTCCAGTTGTGAAAGCCACCAATATAAGAGTAATTCTCCTAGTTGTTGTTAGCCTTCACTGGTGCATCAGGCAATTCAATGTAAAGAATGCATTCTCATGTACATATTCAAGATCAGGTGTACATAATCAGCCACGAGATTTTAAAGATCTTAGATATCCAGATAATGTGGCCTTCTAAAGAGGGCATCGTATGGTCATAAGTATACACCTAGAGCTTGGTATGAAAGATTTAGCCTACATCGACATCACCTTGGATTAAGGGTAGCAAGGTAGATCCCTTACTCTTTTTACTACATTGTAATAGTAACATAGTCTTGCTTCTCTTGTATGTTTATGACATAATTGTCACGAAGACCCATACAATATTTATTTCAACAATTATTGGTGATTAGAAAAATATTTTTCTATGAAGGATCTTGGATCTCTTCATTTCTTCTTAGGTAGTGAGGTTGCTTACTTTACTGGAGGCGTTCACCGAAATCAGAGTAAGTATGTTGCAAAATTTCTTGCCAAAACTTACATGACACTTGCAAAATTGGTATGCACACCTCTAGCACAAAAACATGATTTACAAAAAGTTGTAGGTGATCTAGTAGGTATTTCATTAAACAAAGTATTATTGAAAATTTATGATATTTAACACTCACAAGACCAGATATAACTTATGTAGTGAATTTGGCAAGTAAATTCACATAAAGTACAAGTAATGCTCATTATCAACCTGTCAAAAAAGATCCTTAGATATGTGAAGGACATCGTTTAGTTTGGGTTAATGATCTCGTCTTACACACCATGTAGGTTAATATTATTTTTCAATGCAGATTAGGATGGATGTCTTATGACTAGAATATCAACTACATACTACAATATTTACCTTATTTAAAATTGTGTATCTTGGACATTCAAGAAATAATATACAGTGGCAAGGTCTAGTGCAAAGGCAAAGTATTGAGCATTAGCCTCAACAAAATCTGAAACAACATGGATAACATACATTCTCTATGATCTTGGGGTCTTGTTAAATGCTGCACTTACATTGTTCTGTGATAATTTGTATATGACAGACAATCAAGTAATGCATGTTAGAACAAAGAATGTTGAGATGGAATATCATTTGTTAGTTAAAAGTTGTTTGTCGTCAGCTTGACACAAGGTTTGTTAGATCAAAGGTCAAACTAGCTGGCATTCATACATAGGCACTGACTAAGCGGATGTTTGCAAGTTATCAAAGAAAGATAGGAGTGGTAGTTTCACCTCTCACTAACATGGGGAAATATTGAAGAAGTTGAATATGATTGGGACAGTGACATGATTGTAACACCATAAAATCAATGTGAGACCTTAATCAAATAACATTATAGAGTTTGTATGTAATTCAATG